CAGAGCCTGCCTCTCAGGCCCCAGCTCGTGACCCAGCCCCACAGCGTTGGCCTCGGAGCGCCCCTCGCTCCAGAGACCACAGCGCTTTGGGGGGCCCCTACAGGTCCCTGGGGTGCCCCCCCGTTCCCGGGTTTGCCCCCGTGTATTCCAGAGAGACCCCCCGCTGCTGGGGTTCCCAATGGGCCCCCGTCGGCTCCCAGCTCCTGCCTCCCGCACCCCAGCTGTGAACTCCAGGCTTCTCCCTTTTCCCCCTGTCCCCTTCCCATTCCAGAATCTCTGCCTACCAGCTGTCTTCCCTTCTTTCCCACTCCAGAGCTACCGCCCCCATCCGTTTGCCCCCGTGTATTCCAGAGAGACCCCCCGCTGCTGGGGTTCCCAATGGGCCCCCGTCGGCTCCCAGCTCCTGCCTCCCGCACCCCAGCTGTGAACTCCAGGCTTCTCCCTTTTCCCCCTGTCCCCTTCCCATTCCAGAATCTCTGCCTACCAGCTGTCTTCCCTTCTTTCCCACTCCAGAGCTACCGCCCCCATCCACAGAAACAATCACACAACCCTAAGCACCAGGCAGGCCCCATTGCACAATGCCCCCACTCCCACCTTCTCAATTTGGGAAATTAAGGGGGGGGGGGTACTTGTTGGCAGCGAAGTAATGGGGAAGGGAGGTTGGATACACCAAATACCCTACAGTCAACCATAGAAAATGTTCTCTTCAGTGCCAGGCTGTAATGGGAGGGATATTGTTCAAAACCAGGATCAATCATAACTTGAGGCTGTAACTTACCACGTTTTTAAAATATGATCTTCCTCTACTCTAGATGAAGTTATTCGTAAACGACTTCTAATTGATGGAGATGGTGCTGGTGATGACAGACGAATTAATTTGTTAGTGAAGAGCTTCATTAAATGGTGCAACTCTGGATCTCAAGAAGAAGGGTATTCCATTCTCTGTTTTTCTTCTTTAATGCAATGTGGTCTAGATACCAGTAGTTCAGAGCCAAAAGCTTGTTTTGATTATAAAAACATTCATTTCATCTTAAAACAATTCATTTCATCTTAACATATTTTATTACATTTAAATAGGACCTTGCATTGTTTACAGTCCAAACTCTGCAGCAATTATGTAACCCAGATAATTAGCACTGTAGAGTCATTTTTTGCCAATTCCCTTGATATTAGTATTTTATTTAAAGCTCTAGGTCTTGGGGTTAAGTAATTGGATGGGAATGTCAGCTTTTTTTTTCTTTACTTATCTACTCCCATTGATGTAGACTGAAAAGTTTGTACTCTAAGCACTCAAAAGCCAGAAGGCAAATAAAAAACCCTTTTAAAAAATCTCAATTTAAAGTGAATTATTTTTTAAGGCCTGATTCATTTTTTTAAAATATTTTGGGTTGGTAATAGTGAATCTACGCTGTTGCTTAAGCACTGTTGAGAGTTCAGTAGTGTTATAATCTTTCTGCTATAGCAACTGATTTTACAGGAACTCACAGCTGTAGTATAGTACAGAGTTTCTCAATTTTTTTTTATAAAGTACCTGCTTTTTAAAAAAAAAAAAAAATTATAAGTACCTCCAATACCTACATTTTTCAGACAGACAACATTTTTTTCTACCAGTGCAACACATTTGTTTAAACAACTTAATCGTAGCCGGGCGGGCCATGAAAATTTTTGGGTGTAAAAAGTACAAAAATAACAAAGTGCTGTAAGACTGACAACAAAAATTCAGTTTTCTCTCAATTTCAGTTGTGTTGACTTATCCCCCAGAGTTCTCTTGTGTACCCCTAAGGGTACTGATACCCCTGGTTTAGGAACTCTGGTATAGGATGACTGACAGATATGTCCTGGAGAAGATAGTATGTTGCTTTTGTTCCTCTGTATAAAAAAGTGTCAACGAAAAAGCCCATTAATTAAACTCCATTCAAAATGAAAGGGAGGACTTTATTAGAGACAACACTCTAAAACTAGATGCTTAGAGGAAGTTTTCTTTTGGGTGACTATAAGAGCATTCTGCAGAGCGTTCAGAGCAAGACGTTGTAAAATAGAACTGACAAAGTAGTCTAGGGCTGTTAAATTGCGGTTACCGAGCTAACAGAATAGTCGATAGGACTGCTATGCAGAGCTGCAGTGGGGGTAGCTCCGGGAGCCACCCATGCTGCAGCTCTGCGTTTTAAATGTAGTGAAAATCGTCGGGCTCTTACTACATTTTAAAGGTAGTGGCACCGTGTCTGCATGAGCCGGGACTGCTCGGTCCTGGCTTGTGCTGAGTCCAGCAGCCCCGTTTGTGGCAGCCAGGGTTGGCTGCGGGCAGGGGCTGCTGTCCGCCCCCGGGCAGCCCTGGCCACCGTGAACTAGCGCTGCTTCACGGCAGCAGCCCCTTTCCTTTGGGCAGGGCTCGCCGAACCGCACCGAACCCCGCTCACCAGGCGCGCATGTGCAGATCGCCCAAACCCGGCTCTTCCGGGTTGCAATCTACTCACCACAGGCAAGTAGATTGCATTATTTGTCGAGCCCTGCCTATGGGAGGGTCTCGGCTCCCTGCTGGGACTCGTGTGGACAGGGGATGCTTCACAGCAGCCTCCCCTATCTTCTCCCCGCTGCCTGTATTGGAGGGGGAGGTGGCACCCCAAAGCCAGTGCTGGGGGGAGACTCGCTTTTAAGCCGGCTTTCCCCAGCACCAGCTTGTCTCCACCTGGGGGGAGAGGGAATGCCACAGGGAGCGCAGGGCGAGGGGGGACTCAAGCAGTCCTGCTCCCCCCTTGTTCATACTGGGGCACTTCAGCCTTTGAAATGTAGCAAGACACAGGGCTCTTGCTACATTTCAAAAGCTGAAGGGCCGCAGTGGGAACCAGCACAAGTTGGGACTGCTTCAGTTCCCTACTCACGCCGTGCCACTGCCTCCTCCGTCCTCCGCCCGGCTCTGGGGTCTGTGCTCCCCCAGCACCTGCTCCTGCTCCCACCGCTTGCTGCCTCTATCTGCAAGAGGGGGAAGCAACTTGTCGAGTCACTACTCGACTATCCAATAAGCTTATGCTTATCAGATAGTCTACTAGTCACATCCCTAAAGTAATCCATATTGTAAATGAAATTTTATTCAAATTAGAGGCCAGTTTTAAATTAAATTATTAACCATTGGAGAACATATCAATAGAATGTTAGTGGTTTGACTTGTGAAGCATTGGATTCATACTAGAGGTCTGCAAACAACACAAAACATCCTTGTGTGGAAAGGTTACATGCACAAATTAAAAAACCTGCATCTTGCACTTATCAAAATAAGTATCTGAGCGCTGTGATGGAAAGCAGGAGTCACTGGAGCAAGGAACTTGTATTTCTGTACTATTCAATTTTAATGCTATCGTTGGATATACATTCCAAAACACCCATATAGAATCATACACATTATACAAAGAAAGAGAAGCTCTTTGGGGCAGAAATCCTGTCCTCTTGCATTTTTATGGCAGGAGCACCATGGAACTCTAATCCAAACGAGGACCTCTGAGTATCACTGAAATATAAATATTAAATACTAATCTCACTGGATAAGCAGCCTGCTATACTGAGACAGTTACAATCCATGAATCAGTCTATTATGTTAATACCTATTTGGCATCCTAAAAATAAACTGAAATACTTAATGCTTTAGTTAACCAGTGGTATATGTCTAATTAAATTTTCAAGAATTCTTACCTTAAATGTTTGCAATATTATATTTTTTCAATTGCTTTTATATTTGAGATATTTAGTCTTCCATGGCACTACAATAGTAAATGAATATTTCCATGAGAACTTTTTTTTTAGCTGCTGCTTAACAATTTATCCACTTTTAGATACAGCCAATATCAACGCATGCTGAGTACTTTATCACAGTGTGAATTTTCAATGGGAAAAACTCTGCTTGTCTATGATATGAACCTCAGAGAAATGGAGAATTATGAAAAAATCTACAAAGACATAGGTAAAGAAAACTAAACTTACTAATCAGTATTTGTGGTAACATCTATAAGGCTTGATGTTTGAGACTCTGGCAGTTTTAGTATCATTTGTTTACTGTTTCTACAAATATATATGTATTTCAGTTTTTAATGAAAAATATGCACACACAGGTTTTGAATATCCTGCTAATATTTAAGTACAGATTCAAAATACACAAGGGGATACATCTACTAAAAATGTCCAGTGGGGCCACAGGTTTGCAGTCAGTTGCACTCAGCGATATTGACGTTTAGAAAATTGACTTAATGACACTTTAAGTACTTTTGAATCAAATACTGTACCTCTTACCTTTTGGAATTCTTTTGGTTTTATTTGCAAAGAAAATAGTATAGCTGCAGCACATGAGAAGATTGCTGAATGTAAAAAGCAGATTCTGCAAGCAAAAAGAATACGAAAAAATCGTCAAGGTAAGGTTTTATTTTAGATGGAGCAAATGCCTTTACCTAAAGTTGCCTGTTTCTCATCTAAAAGGACTCTTTTGCTCATTGCCCAAGTCCAAACAAACAGAACATAAAAACATAAGAATGGCTATACTAGGTCAGTCCAAAGGTCCATCTACCCCAGTATCTTCTCACAGTGGCCAATGCCAGATGCCCCAGAGGGAGTGAACAAAATCGAGAATCATCAAGCAATCTCTCACATCACCCATTCCCAGCCTCTTCACAGAGGCTGGGGAACCCATCCCGGCTCATAGCCATTGATTGACCCATCCTCCATGAATTTATCTAACTCTTTTTAAAGTCCCAGTTTTTTAATCTCTCTTCATATGGTACCCATTCCACCCCCTCATTCTTGTTGCCCTTTTCTGAACCTTTTCCAATAACAATATATCTTTTTTGACATGAGATGACCACATCTGCACGAGGTATTCAAGATATGGGTATACCATGGTTTTATATAGAGGCAAAGAATTCTAGTAGATTAGTAAGGCATGATTTCCCTTTACAGAAACCATGCTGACTTTTCCCCAACAAATTATGTTCATCTATGTGTCTGACAATTTTATTCTTTACTATAGTTTCCATTAATTTCCCATTACTGACATTAGACTTACTGGTCCGTAATTGCCAGGATCACTCTAGAGCACTTTTAAAATATTAGCGTCACATTAGCTGTCTTCCAGTCATTAGGTACAGAAGCTGATTTAAAGGATAGGTTATAAACCACAGTTAATAGTTCTGCAATTTCACATTTGAGTTCTTTTAGAACTCTTGGGTGAATGCCATCTGGTCCTGGTGACTTGTTACTGTTAAGTTTATCAATTTGTTCCAAAACCTTATCTCATGATACCTCAATCTGAGGCAATTGTCCAGATCTGTCACGTAAAAAGAACGACTCAGGTTTGGGAATCTCCCTAACATCCTCAGCCATGAAAACTGAAGCAAAGAATTCATTTAGTTTCTCTCAATGACCTTTTAATCTTGAGTGCTGCTTTGGCATCTCAATTGTCCAGGGGCTCCACTGGTTGTTTAGCCGGCTTCCTGCTTCTGATGTACTTAAAGCACATTTTGCTATTACTTTTTGAGTTTTTGGCTAGTTGTTCTTCAAACTCCTTTTTAGCTTTTCTTATTATATTTTTACACTTAATTTGACAGAATTTATGTTGCTACCTATTTTCCTCACTAGGATTTAACTTCCACCTTTTAAACGATACCCTTTTATCTCTCACTGCTTCTTTTACTTCGGGGGTGGGCAGTAGGGCATCCATGAGCTGGACCCAGCCTTCCAAGTTCCTGGCCCCTCCCCTTCTCCCCGAGGCGGCCTGGGGCCATTTCAAAAATTTCTGGAGTGACTCCCCCCTGTCTAAAATTGATAATTCCTGTTTTACTTGGTTGTTGAGCCATGGCGGCTTGTTTTGTTTTTGTTTTTGTTCTCTTACTGTTTTTTTTAAGTTGGCGTATATATTTGAGTGTCCATGCAGCTTGCAGGGATTTTACTGTTGTCACTGTACCTTTTAATTTCTGTTTAACCTCCTCATTTTTGTGTAGTTCCCCTTTCTGAAATTAAATGCCACAGTGTTGGGCTGCTGAGGTGTTTTTTCCACCACAGGGATGTTAAATTTTATTACATTATGGTCACTATTTCCAAGCGGTCCAGTTATAATTTACTCCTTGGACCAGATCCTACACTCCACTTAGGACTAAATCAAGAATTGCCTCTCCTCTTGTGGGTTCCAGAAGCAGCTGCTCCAAGAAGCAGTTTAAGGTATCAAGAAATTTTATTTCTGCATCCCGTCCTGAGCTGATGTGTACCCAAGTCGATATGGGAATAGTTGAAATCCCCCACTATTAAAAGGTTTTTGGAGTTTTTTGGATAGTATCTCCCTTAGCATTTCTTAGTCTTTATCATGGTCCTGGTCAGTAATATATCCCTACTGCTATATTCTTATTATTAGAGCATGGAATTACTACCCATAGAGATTCTATGGAACATTTTGGTTCATTTCAGATTTTTACTTCATTTGATTCTACATTTTCTTCCAGTATATTTTGTACCCTGGTATGACTGTGTCCCAATGATTGTCCCTCATTCCACTAAGTTTCTGTGATACCTATTATATCAGTATCCTCCTTTAATACAAGGCACCCAAGTTCACCCATCTTATTATTTAGACGTCTAATATTTGTGTATAAGCAATTTAAACATTTGTCACTATTTATCTGTCTGCCATTTCCTGATGCATTAGGCTCTTTTTCATTTGATTGTTTCTCATCTGATCTTACCCATACGTTATCATTTTCCATGCTCTCCTCTTTACTAGAACATAGAGAATCTCTATTAATAGACCTTCCCCTAAGAGCTGTCTCTGTCCGATGCACATGCTTCTCCGCACCAATCAGCTTTTCCCCAGCCCTTAACATTAAAAAGTTTATAGAACAGTTTTTAAACTAAGTGCCAGCAATCTGGTTCCGTTTTGGTTTATCCTTCTTATATACGCTCCCCCTTTCTGAAAGTTTTCAAATGGAAGTTTAGCCATCAAGGGAAAAAAATATACGCTCCCCCTTTCCAAAAGTTTTCAAATGGAAGTTTAGCCATCAAGGGAAAAAAATCTGATGTTAGATTTTTATTTTTTAGGTCAAATGTAAAATTTTAAATGCACTTAGTAGGCCAATTTGTGATGAGTATTTAGACTCTAATCCTTCTAAACATGCTTCATTTTACAAATTCTAAATAATCACATTCAATTTAATGGGGCTACTCACAATCTGTGTAGCTAAGCATCTGCTTAAGTCTTTGCAAACAGGGATGTTGGACCTCCATAAGCTAGAACTCTCTGGTCTGGCAACATCCATGGTGCAGCAGGACTACGGATGTTCCCCCCCCCCCCCCCCCTATGATGCAGGGGAGGAGGGGGCCGTGCAGCTCAGCTGGGCTGCGTTGGGGGCAGGAGTCAGGAAGCCTGGTGCATGGCTCAGCTGGGATGGGAGGGGGGAGGCCTGGGAGCTGGGGAGGGGGCGGGAGCTGGCACATAGCTCAGCTGGGCTGGGGCGGGGGGAGCGGGAAGCTGAGTGAGCAGCATGGGGAGAGGGGAATGGGAAGCCACACAACCCAGTTCGGCTTCCTGGGGAACTGGGAAGTTGGGGGGGATTTGACCAGCAGCAGGGTGACCAGAAATGACCTCCCCTGGTCTGGCAAAATCCCTGATTCAGGACCAGGGAGGTCCAACCTGTACAAGATAAGACTTTTTTAAATACAGTATCATACCATTGTGCTAAAACCGTAGCTGTATGTGGGTATTTATCAAGATGTGTGTTAGATTAAGAGGCTGAAAACCATGTGTATTTAAAGTACACAGCAAACCATGTTAGAGATGTTAGAGTATAACTGATTACCTGTTTAACCAGTAAGTTTGGGTGGTGGCTTTACTGTGGCAGGGCAAAGGCTGACTGACGGGGAGGAGGCTTTGCAGTAGCCTCATCCCCAGGAGTGGGGCGGGCAGGAGCTGGCCCCACCCCTAACGAGGCTGTGCTGTGAGCTCTGATACTACAGAGCCCACAGCGCTGGTAACCGTGTACAGGGCGTCCCTGCTATGAGTCACCCCGGTAAAAGCTGGTAACCGTGTACAGGGTGTCCCTGCTATAAGTCACCCCGGTAAACATCTAAAGTCATTGACATTTGAAGGAACTGAAGCATTATAAGTCCTCCCATTCCCCACTCTTAAGTCATGCAAAAAAACCAAACAAAACCAAACCACTCCAGTTTGTACAAATGAAGTCAGCCGAGTGAAAAAAATTCCCCACTTTTAAGTTGTTTCGATATAAGTCCAAGTTTTTTGGAACGTATCTTGGACTAACAGCGAGGATGGCCTGTAACTGCTGAGATTTTCAGTGGTTACACAGTTACCCTATTACATAATTTTGAATATCCCTAAAGTATACTTGCACTACAAATGGGTATAAAGGTTGAACAATAATGAAAAATTATTAGAGGAGATAAACTACCATTGTACTCCCAGGTCCAACCCTTCAAATACTTAGTGCTTGTGCTTTCCTCTGAGTAGTTCTATTTACTGGATTAGGCTTTATTAATCATCATCCAAAAGATTTAAAAAGGTTGTTTTTTTTTCCCTTTCAGAATATGATGCATTGGCTAAAGTAATACAGCACCATCCAGACAGGCATGAAACATTAAAGTAAGTATAGGACTGAATGAAATGAGCATAAGTCAACTACTATTTTGTCCCTTAACATATATCATTCATTTTATTATGGATCTTTCGTATTTAAATTAGATCATATTGTAGAGGTTTAGTTTAATAATCAGTCTGCAAAATATTTTTGCTTATGACCTGCAACAAAGAACAAAGTGCATTTATTGGTGTCCTGTTTTGGAAACAAACTTACTTTTACATCTAAAGAGAGAGAAGATGAATAGACCCCACTCAATGAATGATATATAAGCAACAGACCTACACTTAACTATTCTTAGGCATGTATACACAGACCTCCTATTTTCTTCTAGGGCACAAGAATCAGATCATAGATTTAAAGTTGATTTTTAGTAACAAAACAAAAATATATGTTTGGTAAAGTATACTTGGTTGCTAGGTGTTGTAAAGCAACTGGGGGGAGGAGGGGAGAATAGATTCAAGTACAGAGAATTGCTTCCCTGGGATTCAGCTTTAGATACAGTAGATGGACAGGGGAGCACGTACTTAACACAGAGCAGTTTAACCAAACAACAAAACAACATAATCTGATCAAGTCTAACTAAAAACATTCCCTATCTATTCACATGTTTGTACTGCCAAGGTCCAGCTCATTTCTAGGTATGGGTATTCTTTTTCTGGGCATGGGTATCCCTGTGGTTCAGTTCATCTCCTGCCTCCCCCCCCAGCTCCTAGTTTTAAAACACCAATCAAGAAAACACCAAGCAGCTTCCCTTTCCATTCTAATCTCACCAATTTCTTCCTGTTGGTTCTCCTGACAACATTTCCTAGCTACCTGGGTTTAACCCTTTAGGTACTGAATGCCAGGATGTTTAAAAAAGAACAGCACTCCTCCCATCCATCAAACCCCTTTACATGCAGGGGATATGTAAGGCATTTAATCAATCCCTATTTCATACCTAAGCTAACAAAACATTGTCATACTCTCATTAAAAAGAGAATGGTCCAAAGCAGTGTTTCTCAACCTGTGGGGGTACTTGAGAGAACTCGGGAGCATATGTCAACACAACTGAAATTTGGAGAAAACTGGATTTTTGTTAAGTTTTACTGCGCTTTATTATTTTTGTACTTTTTACACCCAAAAATTTCATCGCCCACCTGGCTACGATTGAGTTGTTTAAACAAATGTGTTGCAATGGTAGAAAACAATTGTGTGTGTCTGAAAACTGTAGGTACTGGGGGTACTTATATTTTTTTTTCCTAAAGGGGGCACTTTATAAAAAAAGGTTGAGAAACACTGTTAAAAAATGTCGCAAAGTGGAAAAATTGTATCCATTATTTTAAAAAGACCCTAGGAATTATCTGGATAATTATAGATTTGCAAGCCTTATGTCCATATCTGACAAGTTGGTGGAATTGATAATTAAGACCAATACCAAAACATTTAGAAGATCATGATCCAATAGGGTCTTACCAACACAGATTCAGCAAAAGCAAATTGGATCCAACTAATCACTTAGAATTCTCTGAATGTGTCAGTAAAGGAGTGGCTAAAGGAGAACCTGTTAATTTAAATAAACCTCCAAGAGGCCTTCAACAAGGTACCTCACAAGTGGCTACTAGAGGAGCTGAGTACTCATGGGTGAGAGGAAAAATATTGTCTTGAATCAAAAAGGATCTGCAAGAGAGAAAGCCAAAAGAAGGATTTTATATCCTAGCAAAAGATTAACAGTAGGGCTATGTCTACACTGGCAGCTTCTTGCACAAGAACTCTTTTGTGGAAGAGTTCTTGTGCAAAAACTCTTCCAGAAGAGAGCATCTACACTGGCATGTGTTTTTGCGCAAGAGCATCCATGCCAGTGTAGACGCTCTTTCACAAGAAAGCTCTGATGGCCATTTTAACCATAGGGCTTTCTTGTGCAAGAAATTAATGTTGCCTGTCTACACTGGTCTCTTCTGGAAGAGCTCTTGTGCAAAAGGGCTTCTTTCTGAGCGGGAGCGTCAGAGTTCTCACTCAAGAAGCCCTGATTTTATACATTAGAACGTCAGTTTACTTGCGCAAGAACATGCGGCCAGTGTAGACAGGCAGCAAGTTTTTGCACAAGAGTGGCCGCTTTTGCGCGAGATCGCACCGGTGTAGACACAGCCACAGGTGTCTTAAGGATTTGGACTAGCTCCAGTGTTTAGAGTAGTGATCGATCTGGAAAGGTCACAAAATGTGCAGACGACAAAGTTATTCAAGATGGTCAGAATCAGAGAAGATCATGAGGAACCTGAAAATGACCTAAACCTGATGATGGGAGATAAAAATCAGTATTGATAAAAAGCAATAGAAGGGAAAAAAATGTAAACTACTTACATCTTACAGGGTTCTAAATTAACTGCACCAGTACAGATAGGGCACCTGGGACATCACTGTAAACAACTTAATGGAGACCAATGACTGTCAGAAAAAAAAACACAGTGTTAGGAATCATAAGAAATGGGATGGAGAATAAATACTGAACATTTTAATGTCTTTGTGGTGCACTCAGCAATACCGATCACCTGATTTCAAAAAGAACATCATAGAACTGGAAGAGAGTCAGAGAAGAGTGACGAACATGACCAAAGACCTGGAAAAACTCTTAGAAGGAGAGTGATTGTAGAGGCTGGTATTGCTTGCCTTAGAAAGAAGAGGGAGAAGGGGCCATTAGAAAAGTACATGAAAATAATGAGTGTTAGAGAGCAGGTAGAACAGGAGCTTCTGTTCTTTCCTATAATGCAACAATAGGAGCATATGAAACGAAATGGTAGGAAATTCAAAACCAACAAAAGGAAATACACTTTCAAGATGTGTCACTTATTACTACAAGAAGTCAGCAAGATTTTTTTTAAAGTATATAGATTAAGAATGTTCGGAGTTATAATTAGTGACCACATCATTTTTAGAAGGAATATTAAACCGTGCGCATTGATGCGTAAGCCAGTTTCTAGCTAGTAGAGAGTTGGGTGAGACCTAATGGCAGATCAGGGCAGATTAATCCACATAAGCCACTGCAGGATTCTTACCCTTTAAGCTGCGTGGCCGTGCAGCTGCCTGTTAAGCCCCATGCAAGAGCTTGGGGCTGCAGCTGGGAGAAATACCTCTCCCCAAGCTCTGAAGCTACTGTGGCTAGCAGAAAAACACCCCTCCTCACCAGCCCCAAATTGGAGCTGCCACAGCCAGGGGAGAGGAGTCTCTCCCAGCTGGGCCCTACCCAGCCTAGCCCAGACCTGCCCTAGGTGGGGGACAGGTGCCTCTCCTACAGCCATGGCCACTGGAGCTGTTGGGGCAGTAGAGAAGCACCTCTCACCTAGCCCTGAGCTGTTTCAATGAGAGTGCTAGAGGTAGTCTTCTGTCACCAGGGCAGCCTGCACCCCAAGCCCTCAATCACCCCCCAGAACCTGTACCTTAGCTGAAGCTGTCACCCTCTTGTACCCCAACTCCAACTCTGAGCTCCCTCCTGTACCCCAACCCATCGGCCCCATCCTCACCACACACTGTGCATGTGCGGAATGCCTTGTGTTATATGCACCTATAGGGAGATGATGTATCAAAAGTCATTCTGTACATGGACATAACAATTAGAGGAAACACTGGTTCTTCAAGAGACTTTTGTCGACAAAACTATACCTGCATCTACACTGCTGCTGAGTTCTGTCGACATAACGTCGACAGAACTCAGCAGTTTTGTCGACGGCTGTAAACCTCATTCTACGAGGAATGCCTTTTGTCGACAGAGTTCTGTCGACAGAAGGCGTTATTGCATCTACACTTTCATGTTGACAAAGCAGCTTGCTTTGTCGACAGAACTGGATGTAGTCTAGATGCTCTTTGTTGACAGAAGCTTTGTCTACAGTATCTCCCCCCCCACCCTGCTCCTCAGTTCCTTCTCTACTGCCTCCGGCTACAGATGGACTGAAAAACCAGTTAAAGTTCATTATAATTGTTAATTAGTTAGTTTTAAATAATTACTTCATTAGTTAAAAAAAAAAATATATATATATATATAATTGTCATTGCATATCTTCATTTACAAAAGCACAAATTCCAGACCTATAGATGAAACATGAGGCCACTCACTCACACATGATGCCAACGAATGTTAAGATAAGATGCCATCCAGAATATAGATTTAACCCTCTGCTAAAATTTGTGAGAGAGAAATATTAATTAGTATAAGGGGTTTTCTTCCTTTTTTTCCCAGCTAATCCCTCCTTGCAGTCTTTGGCTACTTACAGGGACATGCCTTGATCACCTGGCTTTAAACGCTGCACTTCATGTAAAGACCGTATTCCACTCTTGGACGGTCACTCACAATGCGTTCTTTGTCTTGGAGAGCAGCATATCTCTCAAATACCCTCACTGCACGAAGCTAAAATCACAGGCGTGGAAAGACAGAGACCTATGACTCAAATTGGTTTTATTAGAAAACTCACTTCCAGCAGCCTCCGATCTGGGTCACCAACCCGAGGAACCTTATCAGCGGGGATCCAAAAAGCGAGCCTCCTCAGTGCCTCAAGGGGCTATGGCACCGAAACTGCCATCCCCCTCACGGCCAGCGCCAAGAGCAGCGGCGGCACCGCGCCTCAGCACCTATGACGCCGGTGGCTGAGCCCAAGGAACCTATGTTCCAGAGTCTCCTTCTACTCACCAGAACCATCCGTCTCCATGACAATAGATGCATCTCGTACAGGATGGGGTGCCCATCTACATCATCATACCTGCCAGGCAGGGCCTGTGGTCCAGCACCAACAAGAATATGCACATTAACGTCCTAGAACTGAGGGCAGTCAGGAATGCGTGCGCCAAATTTCTCCCATTCACCACCAACAGCCACATCAGACTGCACAAGACAATGTCTCAGCAATGTTTTATATAAATTGTCAGGGCAGAGCCCAATCTCGAGCACTCTGCACAGAGGCCATACCACTTTGGAACTGGTGCCTGAAATGCAACACAATTATCACCTCAGTGCATCTTTCAGGCATCCTGAATACAACAGCAGACGCACTCAGCAGAGCCCTCCCAGCCGAGCACGAGTGGCAAATGAATCCGCACATATTGGTGGGCATCTTTTGCCGATGGGGTCACCCTACCATAGATCTGTTTGCCATGCAGTCCAACAGTCAAAACCCCCTTTTCTGTTCCAGGGCAGGAATAGGAAAGGGATCAATGGGGGATGCCTCTCTCATTACATGGACGTCCCACCTATTCTACGTATTTCCTCCGAAACCCCTGTTGAATAGGGTAGTTCACAAAATAAGGAAGAACAGGGCCTGTCTCATACTTAAAGCACCAGCATGGCCTCACCAGCCATCGTTTCCCTTCCCATCACCATGTCCCACCAATCCACTTACCTTGCATCAGGGATCTCCTTCTTCAGCCGGGGTCCCAAGACGTCCACCCGAACCTCCACTCACTACACCTGAAGACATGGCTCCTGGATGGTTCTCCAGCCTAGAGTTGACTTGCTCACAGAAAGTACAGTCCTTCCACACAGTAGGGCACAGAGTACCTGCAAGACTTACGTTCAGAAATGGAAAAGATTCTTGACGTGGTGTGCTTGTCACCAGTTGGTTCCTTCAAGAGCCCCTTTATCTACCATCCTCGACTATCTTCTGTACCTTGAACAAGCGGACCTCGCAATGAGCTCCATTAAAGTTTACCTTACAGCTATTTTACAACCTTCCACTCTAAGACAGATGACTTGTCCATATTTGCTCATCCACTCACCAAGAGGTTTTAAAGGGCCTGCAGGCACTTTATCCAGATATCAGTCCACCAATGCAACCGTGGGACCCGCATTTAGTATTGAATGCTCTAACGAGGCTGCCCTTCGAATCAATGGCGATGGCCTCATTATTACACTTGGCCATGAAAACGGTTTTCCTGATAGCCATTACCTCGGCCAGACGGGTAGGAGAGATCGCAGCCCTAATGGCGGACCCCCTATGTACTATCTTCTTTAAAGACAAGGTCACCTTATGTACCCATCCCAAATTCCTCCCCAAAGTACACTCATCCTTCCTCCTCAACTAGACAGTACACCTTCCCACCTTCTTCCCGAAGCCACACGCCAACTCTTTTGAGATGAAAATGCACACACTAGAGCTGCGCAGAGCGCTCTTCTTTTACTTGGCGCGAACGAGACTGTTCGGAGCATCTCCCAGACTATTTGTTTCAATAGCAAACCACAATAGGGGCCCGGCCGTCTCATCACAGAGACTCTCCCACTGAATCTCTGATTGCATCAAGTTCTGCTACACACAGTCAGATGTGCTCCCTCCAGAGAACATATGGGTGCACTCAACCAGGGCCATGGTTATCTCGATAGCATTCTTCAGTAAAGTACCTGTAAGAGACATCTGTGCAGCTGCCATGTGGTCCTCCGGCCACACATTTGCAAAGCACCAGGCACTTGTGCAGGGACCTCCTTCCAACCTGAAACTAGCTAAGGCAGTTCTTTCCACCGCTTCTCTGCCAGATACGAAGTCCCTACTTCCCTAGCAGGGAATTGCTTTGTAGTCACTTCATATGGAGCATCCACGAGGACATCTCTCTCGAAGAGGAGGTTACTCGCCTCGATAGTAACTGACGTTCAAGATGAGTGTCCCTGTGGGTGCTCCACAACCCTCCCTTCCTCCCCTCTACTTCGGGATCCTGGCCTTCCTAAGCCATGTTTTCGGGGTAGAGATGGAACGATGGGGTGAGGGAGGGGGATCGCTCATGCACAAGGCCTGTAGTTTAACAGCGTGCGACTGCTGGTGCATGCCTGCATGGCTCCAGGGACACTGCCATGAAATATCCGATCTGAGGCTTGGCAGCGGCACACCCATCTAATGTGGAACTCCCATAAGGACACTCATCTCAAAGAACGTCAGTTACTATCGAGGTGAGTAACCTCCTCTGCCTCCATTATCTACTAAAGCATCTGGTTCCAGCCACTATCAGAAATGGGATACTTAACTAGATGGACTTTGGGTCGGAGTCAGTCTGGCAATTCTTGTATTCCTTTCTGTCGTTATTTCTGATATGCTCCACTGTGCCCTCCTGTTATTGCTCTTACAGCACGCAGTGCTTGATGAAATAGTGCATACTTGTGAAAAAATCAGATTAAATTACTTTTAATAATTCACAAAAGCTGTATGTAATCTGTTAATACACTTTGTACTATGACGGTTATTGGAATTTATTTGCAGGCAGCTAGAAGCTTTGGGAAAAGAACTTCAACATCTTTCTCACATTAAAGAAAATGTTGAAGATAAGGTAGGAGCTTTCTTTCTATATTTGTATTCACATAAACATAATTATGAGAAATCTTCTGAAAGTTTCAATAGAGTATGTATATCCACACTTAAATTTGCCATACTTTAGTTGGTGGGTTGTCTTTGTCATTCTAGCTGGAGTTGAGACGAAAGCAGTTCCATGTGCTTCTGAGTACCATCCATGAACTTCAGCAAACTTTGGAAAGTAAGTGATTTCTACGTGAAAACGTAAGGACCAAATCCTCCTTCTGTGTTCACTCAGTAGTTCTATTAGTCAGTGAGACAACTTCCATGAACAAAAAAAGGAGAATGTCTGTCTTTTTTCCAGTTAGTTTATACAGAATAAAGCCTTCTAGCACTGAAATTACTAAAATTGTAGTAGTATCTATATTTCTCATCTTAAACTACAGCTTGAACCTCTTGTCCCACACTCTCTGAACCTGACCAGTGCCAAACCAGAGAATTTACTGAACCAAGGCAGGTCAATAGTGTCTATCAGCATTGCCAACGCTTCCACTGCTTGCTGGACTGTTAGAAGATATTTAGGGGTAAATTAGAGCTAACTAACAGCACCAAGCACTGAGCGCCAGGACTGGAGGCTGTAAACAAACTTTATGGAATCGTGGGAAACTTGGCCTCTCCCATGATAAGTAGACATCCGGCTAACGAACATCATGCCGACAACTGATGTTGCCAGATCAGAGAGGGCTGGACTAGAGAGGTTCAACCTGTACTGCATTCAGTACTACAGTCAGAGAATATTTTTCTAAAATTAAAAAAAAATCTACTCAAACTTTATTCTAGCAGCTAGTTATGATGGAGTAGAGTAGCATCAAACCTCTCTGCTGCCAATAAGGTCTATGCAAATCGTTCATAGTCTTTAATAAAACTCCTTTGAAATTTGATTTTTTTTCTAAATGTAAAAATAGCTGTTACCCTTCATACGTATTTGTTGAACTAACCAAAAATGTTTTTTGTTTCTGTAATTTACTGATACGGCTCCTATTTCTGTGGTATTGGACATCTCAATCCTTACTGTATTTATCCTAACACCACCCCTCTGATATAGGTAAATTAATAGAGAATCGAGGCCCAGAGAGTCTTTATTCCCAAGGGCCATGCAGGACGTCTGTGGCAGAGTACAGAATTGAACTTGGATGTCCTGAGTCCCGCACTCGCATCCTAACCCCCAGACAATTTTTTCTGATCTAAATCTTCAGATCGTATACTCTGACCCCAGGCGTTTACCTGTTCCAAACAAAACCTGTTCCTGTCTTTCCAGAACTGAATATCTGACATAACTAAGATTACAATTTTGTCATGGAAGTTTTTAATAATTTCACAGCAGAGGTGCAGATGAAAAGCGTTAAATTAGTCAAGTATTAGTAGTTCTCTAGTAAAGGAGTTCAGAACAGGGGTCGGCAACCTTTCTGAAATGGTGTGCCAAGATTTAACTCCCCTGCCCTGGGCCGCGCCACTCTTCTGCGTGTGTGTGGGGGGGAGGACTCTCTCCACCAATACCGCATTTGGTCTCCTGCCCTGAGCTCCGCTCCGGCTTTTCCTGTGATGCTTTCACAGTTTCACTTTTTTTTTCAACATTAAGTGATTCATATTAAACATAAAATAAAAAGAGAACCCCAAAATAAACACCCCAAATCTTTGTCAATAATAAAGCAACTAAAACAATAAAAATGATCATTAAAATACAAATTTAAAAATAATTAACTATTCTTATAAAATACAAAAAATAATACTACTTAAAATATTTTAAAAGCTCAATAAAACACACACACACACACACACACACCCACACACCCACACACAGCCCTTACTACTCATGTTCGGTGGCTGCTCCAGCTCTATGGGATCTAGTGCACCACAGGCAGGGACGCTTCAGACTGGCAGGATCAGCCCCCACCTCAGCTGAGGCCGCTGCCTGACATATGGTCTTCAGCTCTGGCCCCAGCCAGGCCCACCAGAGCAGCTGCCACCCGACATGAGGCCTCTGTACGTGGCTGAGCTTCTGCTGCGTGCCACTCTAAATCAGCTCATGTCATAGGTTGCCGTCCCTGGTTCAGAATATGAAAAGCCACTCTTAAGCAAGGGCATTAGTAATGGAAGCTGTGATACATAAATTTTGTACATTGATATTACAGGATTCTCTATATGCAAATGAACAAAAATTCAGGCCTGGTCTATACTAGATCAGGCAGGTTGGCTTAAGGTATGCAACTCCAGCTACGCAAAATGAATAGCTGGAGTTGGATTACCTTAAACCAAGCTGTGGTGGTGTCCACACAGCAGGAGGCCGATGGGTTCAAATGCTCCCATCGGCTTCCTTTACTCCTCGCAGAAGGAGTACTGACACCGACAGGGGCTGGCCTCAGCGTTCAATTTATGGGTCTATACTAGATCTGCTAAATCAACCACTAGAAGATCGACCTTAGGAGCGTCGATCTTCTGGTAAGTACAGACATGCCCTAAGTGTTGTAATAGCAGAAACAGAACCAATTCAGGGGCAAATATCAGTCTTTCCTTTGAATGTAGTGTGTTTTCTTTTTCTTTTTTCGGGGGGAGGGCGGCATCACAGTCTTAGTTATTTAATATTCTGTATAATGTAGTGCTAAACCACAGATCTTAGCTCACTAATGCATAAAGTTTATATTGGGATAATATTTTTCAGTAAAGTTTATACATAAATATCAAGATTGAGCATGTTTGATTAATAGCCACAATCTAAATTTCAGATGATGAAAAACTTTCAGAAGCAGAGGAGTCCCAAGAAACTCACATGGAAGAAGAGACTAAACAGTAGACAAACTTTGGACTTACTCAAGAATTTCCATAGCTTCTGAATTTGTGCCGAAACTCGTTATCTTGAAACTTTTCTAAGAAATTAAATCTTGCGGCTGTTTTTTGTGAATTTGTATGAATACCAGGGTTTTTTTTAAGACAAATACAAAAAATCTTGTTTTGTTAGTGCTACAGTAAAACAGTTACTGCTCAAGTAACAAGCCTTCATATACGTGTGGGCAGCACTCCAGTATTACACAAAAAGCTTTAGATTGTTTTGTGAACCAGGAAAATATTTCAGGCTTGTCAGTTCCAGAGTGTAAAACATTCCTGTATAGTAATCTGCTAAGATGCTAACACGGTGTTGAAATAAAACATGTTTACAAATAATTTCCTCCTTTCTTTTGAGTGTTTACAATGAAGCAGTAAGGCCCTGATTTTGCATTGAGCCTCACAGTCAGGATTCCTGTGTCTGCTTGCAGCTGCAGTCATGCCAGTGGCCTCTTCCCATATGCACGAGTTCAAGCTACACGACCCAGATACAGGTTTGGAATCTAAGCCTGGACCAAATGCTTTGCTGGTCGTTTCAGCGTAGCAGCCATGTTGTCTATTTTAGAACCCACCCATGAAAGTCAGTAATCATTCCTTTGTTTCAAATCCAGTATAAACTTTGAGAATCATCTTACCGTAGTATATGAAAGTATAAGAGAGACTTCTCAGACACTTCGCCAAAGAATTAATGTCCACAAAACAGACATCAGATATCTTCACAAGGAAAAACCTGTCAGTCTGCATTTCAGCCTACCTGGACATAGTCTTAACGACCTTACTACAGGCATCTTACTTCAAAGAGGCTTTAACACCCGATTAGAGAGAGAAACTTCAGAACTTTCATTCATGCTTAAATTTGACACTTTACGAATGGGCCTTAACACAGATGCTAATTACCTTACACATTAAATGACAGCTTTCCCACTTATCACCCCTGATTAGCCATTCATTGACTTATAAACAGCTATTCCCTCCCTCTGTCTCCCACGCCCCACCTTACGTAAGAACGGCCGTACTGGGTCAGACCAAAGGTGCATCTAGCCCAGTATCCTGTCTGCGGACAGTGGCCAGCACCCGGTGCCCCAGAGAGGGTGGACCAAAGACAATGATCAAGTGATTTGACAATGACCTTCTGTTCTAAATCTGAAGACAATGACCTTCTGTTCTAAATCTGATTTGTCCGTTTAATAATGTATTCACTTTTTTCCTTGTATTCCTTTGGTATATATGGTCATGCCAATTCTCTTCCAGCATATGATCTGAGGAACTGGGTCTGGCCCACGAAAGCCATCACCTATTAAACCATCTTGTTAGTCTTTAAAGTGCTACATAGTTTTTCCTTTTTTTTTTTAACATCTGAGGGTACGGTTTAGTGCACAGCGAGCTGGGATATAAACAGCACAGTAGCTTGTCATGCTCAAACTGGCCATGTGAATCCTGCGACCACACACTTAAAAGGTCCCTGGTGTACTTTGATCTCCTTGACTTTGAAATGGGAGTAAATCAAAGTGCACTATGGCCCTTTTAGAGCAGGTTCCACATGGCCCGTTAGCAGGCCACAGTAGGCTGGCGCTGTAGATTTATATCCTAACTTGATACAAAGTAACTAGCCATATAGACAAAGCTTTAGTGTTGTATTAGATCCTCCTCTTCCCTCATCTCAGTTTTTTCTGTGCTTTGACACACACTGAACACCTGTAGGTCTGCGGGACTTGCAGCTCCAGCCCACGGCACTAGAAATTGAGCAAATTCAGACAGTCTATGGACCTCAGACACGTCCAGTTGCAAGCATGTTCTCCTTTGCTATTCTCAATAGGAAGAAAAGCCACTCGATGCAAAGTAATTACCAGAATCTTGGATGCCTCC